TTTTTTGAAAAGCTTCTTTTCATGTCTTTTGCCCACTTTACAATAGGGTTGTTTGATTTTTTTCTTGCTGATTTGCTTGAATTCTATGTAGATTCTGATTATTAGCCCTTTACTGGATGTATAGCTTGTGAATATTTTTTCCCCTTCTGTAGGTTGTCTATTTGCTCTGTTGATTATTTTGTTAGGTGTGCAGAAGCTTTTTAATTTAATCAAATCCCACTTACTTATTTTTATTTTTGCTGTAATTGCCATTGGGATCTTTTACATAAATCCTTTGTTCTTTTGTTTCTCTCTTTCTACGATGACTGATCTGAAAAATTTCTCCTGAGTTTATGAATTTAACTCATTCCTGTTAGTTAAATTTGAAAAATCTCTCTTCTTTTATATAAAAGACATTATCTTCTTAATTCACCATTTGTGAATTTTTTTACTCAATATGCCACTAAGGATCAAACAACAAATGAGAAAATAAATAAAATTAACTGGTAAAAGTACCGTGTTGTGATAGTTTGGGAAATCATATTCCATGTTTTCAAGAAATGTTTAGTTTCATGAAAGAAAGCAAATAAATATGGGTTGATGGATTATATGGAGTTTTCCTAAAGGAACTTGATATCCCGATCTTGAATTGATAAAAAGAGAAGTAAAACAGAGGAGGAAGTTAAAAATGTTTGAGTACACCCCTTTGAATGAAGTAGAAAAAACTTTGTACTCAGTAGATGGTTTTTTTCCCCTCAGTCTTGATAAATTTGCTATACCAGGCAAAATATAACAGTTTAGCCAAAAGAAGTAGTCTTTTGCTTCTAAGGGTGTAGTCTTGGGGATAAATAAGCCAATTAGGAGTGAGCTGTCAATTCTTACATGGCAAACTGCTTCTGAAGCCGGAAGTGGAAAAGGATTAAGTGCTAGTTCCAATCTAGGGATGCTCTATTGTGTGCTTGTGTTTGGAAATGATGCTTTGAGACTGACTCAACTTTATTGTCTTTTTTTCTTCTCCCACCCCACCATGTCCTACTCTCTGGCCAGAAGTTTTAGGTTTAGACAGAGTAAAGCCATGACTTATGTAAGAGAAAAAACATTGGCTTTATATTCATTGTGCTCTGCACAGCCAAGGAAACTATCACTAGAGCAAATAGACAACCTACAGAATTGGAGAAAATATATGCATGCTATACATCCAATAAAGGGCTAATAATCACAGTCTACAAAGAACTCGAGCAAATCAGCAAGAAAACATCAAACCAACCTCCCATTAAAAAGTGGACAAAAGATATGAAAAGAAGCTTTTCAAAAGAAGACAGACTAATGGCCAATAAACATAAGAAAAAATGCTCAGGATCTCTGATCATCAGGGAAATGCAAATCAAAACCACAATGAGGTATCACTAAACTCCAGTGACAATGGCTTTTACCAAAAAGTCCCCAAACAACAAATGTTGGCATAGATGCACAGAGGTAGGAACACACATACACTGCTGGTGGTACTGCAAACTAGTACAACCTCTATGGAAAGTAATATGGAGATACCTCAAAGAACTAAAAGCAGAACTGCAATTTGATCTAGCAGTCCCACTACTGGGCATCTATTCAAAGGAAAAAAAGACATTCTATCATAAAGACATCTGCACTTGAATGTTTATAGCAGCATGATTCACAACTGCAAAGATGTGGAAACAACCAAAGTGCCCATCAATACATGAGTGGATTAATAAAATGTGGTATACGTACTATTCAGGCACAAAAAACAATGGTGAACTAACACCTCCTGTGTTACCCTGGTTGGAGCTGGAGCTCATTCTCCTAAATGAAGTATCATAAGTATTTAATGGTATACTCACCATTAAATTGATACTAATTGATCAACACTTATTTGCATATATGGAGGTAATATTCATCGGGTGTTGGGCAGGTGGCAATGGGGAGGAGGCATGGGTATATTCACACCTAATGGGTGCAGTGAGCACTGTCTGGGGGATGGGCACTCTTGTAGCTCTGACTTGGGCGGTGCAAAGACAATATATGTAAACCTAAACCTTTGTATCCCCATAATATTAGGAAATAAAAAAAAGAGAAAAAAAAAAGATTCATCCTGAGGAGGAATATCTGGAATGTGGGAATATTCTGTATAATACAAAGGATGAGAGATTAAATGGACAGTTTTCAGATACCGGTATTTTCTTACTTATCCACTCACCACCATCAAAATAAGTACTGCTTCAAGACTCTGGGTGTGAATAGTGATTAATTTCTCTACTTATTTTGGGGTCATTTGGCATGGTTCATTATCAGGATTGATATCATTCAGTTGGCTGTTTACTCCTTTCTTAGAATGTATTTTACACAGAGCAGGGACTTAAAATATTGGGTCAAATAAAGGAAAATGCAATGGAGTTATTACGTTTGTTGACCTTAGTGTAAACACTTTGGACTATCATTACACTTACATAATCTAAAAATGTTATTTGGCTAAGACAAACTTTATGGATGTGCATTTGCTTCTTGTATACTATATACAAAAGCAGGTATTTTCTTTCATTCTGGAAAACAGGAATAAACACATAGCGGTGGACCTAAGCACCACATTTTTAATACTTACTATGTGAACCAGATCATGGAAAATAGCAATTTAAAACTGCTTTGCTTTGCAAACTAGCCCAGTCATATTGACAAAAAAGAGGTAAAACTGAAAATACAATACCAACTTCCAACCATTGTTAATACAATGCTGTATACCTAGAATAAAAAATAAATTTTAGGAATAAAGCTAAAACCATCATTTCAGGAATAATTCTACCAGAAATTCTCCTCATTTTTTCTTCTATCCATGTCTCATTAATGAAGAAAGAAGGTAGAAAATTCCCTTAACTAAATGTTACAGTTAGAACAATTCTGTGAAATGTTAGTCTTCTAGGCAACACTTCTTGGATTTAGCACAGAAGCAAATGAAGAGAAACTAGACAATTTAGTCAAATGCTATATAATATTATTAGCTGTGATTTTAATTCTTTTATTTTCTAGATTCTGGCTAGGATTTACTTTTAATTCTAAAATAACAAATTCTGATTCTCAATCAAAAGCCTATACACTGTATAAGATGGCAAATTTTTTGTACATAAACTTAATTGTATTATTTTTACATTTCTGATATTTTCTGTGACTAAGAAGACAATGTAACATTTTTATTGTCATGTAATTTGTTCTTCCTAGCTTTTAAATGTTAGATTCAGGGCATTACTGCTGCAAAAAATATTGCATTGGACCAACTATCTCCTATGTTTACAGAATGAAAATATCACAAATCTGTTATTTTTTTTATGTTGCAAAAGAAAGTGGTATCATATATGGTATTTTGTGAGTTGAGAACAATATAATTAAGACAATAATACTATAAATGTTGAATTACAAAATAACATGAAAACATTAGGCACCCAAAGAGTTTTCAAAACTTAAAGAAAAAAGTTATATTATAAATTGCAAAAAACAATTTGCAAGCTTGGTAAAACTCATGCTATCTCTTGAATCATGCATACTTTATTTCTCTATTAATTTGTGAAAACTGAAACATTTGAGTTTTTTTGGACAAAAAATGAGTCATATTACACAACAACAAACATTTCAGAAATATTTAATAATTAATGGAGAAGGAATAGTGTTAAAATCAATACATAACAAACTTCTCATAAAAATGGCTATTTTAATATTTGATTTGAAAATTTAAGTAAAACGCCCTGAGCTTGGTTTTTAAACATCATTCTACAACAAAAGGAGCATAGACTCCTTAGAGAAATGGTTGATTCCGAGACTAAGACAAGGAAAATAGAAGATAAATCTAGAACATATTGTGAGTCTAGAAAGGAAAGAAGTATTCAAAAAGAATGAGAATTTATCAATAGAACACAAGAGCAAACCCACAGGAGTTCCTAATGGCCAAAGTTGGAAAAAATTTGAACGACCAAATACATAGTGATAGTTTGCATGGTAATCTATACAATAAAATAAATATCCATGAGGCTATACAGATAAAATTGTTTTAAAAAGTATTCACATGAGTGAAAAGAAATCACTCTTTATTATGGAAGAAGTACAATTAATAAATGCAAAAGGAAAAAGTAAAATGCGAAATCCTCATTAGGCAAACACCACAGTAATAATCGTTACAGACAGATGGATACTAAAATTAGTGAGTGAAATTTTGCAGATAAACAGGATATTAACACAGTCTCAAAACGTCTCCCCCAAGCTATACATTAATACAAATGGAAAGATAGTAACTTCATGGTGAACAGACACAGTTGTTACCACCTTAACCAAGTGAACAAATTTAACATAGCAACATATCAACATCACGAACCTTTTGATATGACGCAATAAAGATACAGCATCATTTCTGAGGTAATCTGGACAAAAATATATAACCTCATTCTAATAATGAAAATATCAGAAAAAAACCAAAATGAATTTACAGACATATTCAATAGTAACTGATGAGCAGTCTGTAAAAGTGTCAAGGTCACTGAAGACAGATAAAAACAGAATTATCACAGATTGGAAGGAACTAAGGAGAAATAACAACTGAATTCAATGTGGAAGGCTGGATACGGCCCTGTTTAAAGAGATCATTAAGGACAAAATGGGTGAAAATTGAAAAAGTCTGTTGAGGTAAAAGTATTGAATCAACGTTAATTTTCCAGTTTGGACAATTACATCATGATCACATAAGATGTTCACCTTATGAGAAGCTGAGTGAGAGAATTCTCTTTAATTTTGTAAACTTTTCTGTAAATCTAAAATTAGTTCAAAATAAAAGTTTAACAAGCTTTTTATATTCCAATAATGACATAAAACATCTACGAATGATTAGTAGATTCAATAGGATAAAAATTCAAAAGGAATAAGATGGAGAAATTAAAATACAATAAATATGTAGAAGACAATCATTGAGGCAGATCACATGCATGAAAAAAGAGAGTAGTAAAAGTAAACAAAAGGGAGGAGCGAAGATGGCAGACGAGAAAAGCCGCCAGTCAGAGTGTCTCTGCAAAAAAGACAAATTTCAGAAGAAAGAGAAAAAAATAAACTAGCAGAGAAACAGATCAGGTGAGGGTCGGAAGGAAGGGTGCCTGAAACTACAGGGGACTCCACGGGAAGACGTTGCAAAGGAGAACTGGAAGGAGAAAGGTCCTGAGAGGCTTGGAGACCAGCAACAAGGGTAGGTGGAGCAGTTAACTTCCCCCTCCCTTGCATCTCAGACTGCTGGTGGGCTCCTGAGCAGTTGGAGAGACCTGCCGACATCGACCCAGAGACGGCTGCCACCAGTGAGCAGTGGCCTCTTTTGGACTAAGCGCTGGGCTCCCAGCTCCCTCGGGGGACCTCCCCGGGTGCAGACCCAAGACTATCGGCAAGCGCCATAGTTCTCCATTCTCTCCTTCCCCTTTCCTACCCGTGGGTGCCCAGAGAGACAATTTAGCCATCACACAGAGGCATCTCCAAGGAACGGGACCTTTCCTTTTAGGGCCCTACAGCAGACTGAGGGGTACTCAGACTGCGAGCTCCCTACCTGCCAGCCCTCCCAGGTGCTGCTTGCCTGGGAACTCCAGGAGAGCGCAGAAAATCCCGAGGTGGAGTGAAATAGATCCAGCTTGGGCACCCTGTAGGTGATTCAAGACCAGCACCCCTCCCCCTGGCAGGGTCAGGGATTCATCTCCAGGGTCCAGGGAACAGGCCTGCAGACCAGACCCCGTACACCCAGGTCACGATCGCACTGCCCTGGGGCACAGAAGAGAGATCTGTGAAAGAGCCTACTGAGGAGTGTGCGCCTTCAGGGGCAGATCAGCCTGCCTGACCGGCAACCCTCCTCCTAAAAGAGGGCTTTGAACCCAGCTCAGGCTACAATCCTGGGTAGGGAACCTCCCGGCCCACGTCACAGCCAGGGGAGATCCATCGGCCTGAGGTCCGGCTTGCTGGCAGAGGGCTGGGAGAGGCTACGGAGAGGGGGAGAGTGGAGAGGAGTGACACCTGATCCAGAGTGCGGGTCTTGGACAGCCCCACCCCCCAAGCCCAGACTTTCAGCTGAGTGGAGCCATTTCAGCCCCTCCTGGCAGCTTTGCACATAACCAAAGAGCAGACCTTTGACCCCTGCTAACAGCAGTTGTGGAGCCTGAGGGCAGGCTTATCCAACCAAGCCCCACCCAGACTCACTCCCGGTCCTGCCCCCAATGAGGTGGAGAATAAGGACACACCTGGAAATCCCAGAGCTCCACCCACCACCCGAGGCACAAGAGGGCCTCTCTAGAGGAACAAGAGCTAGCTACAGGACCCAAAAACAGCATTGCAGCTCGCTCCTCCCAGCAAGTGCCACCTACTGACAGGGAGGTCATCCTGCACACCCTTTTACTGCATCTACTGATTCACCATAAAGGGTGTGGTCGAATCTCACCCACAAACACCGCCTACTGGCTCAGAGACTAAACAGGGCGTGTCATTATCCAAACGAAAATCTAAAGGCAAGAAGGAACCACTGATCCAGATGGGAAGGAACCAGCGAAAGAACGCTGGAAGTATGAAGACTCAGACGGAAAGCACAACCCCAAAGAGGAAAAACAGCTCCCCAGCAATGCACATTCACCAAACTCAGAACACTAAAATGACAGAAGAAGAATTTCAAACATGGATTGTAAGAAAACTGAATGATATGCAAGAAAAAATGGATAACCAACAAAAAGAAACCACAAAAAAAATCCAGGACTTAGAAGAAAAATTCACTAAAGAAATTGAAATATTAAAGTCAAATCAAACCGATCTCCTGGAAATAAAAGACTTATACAGGGAACTACAAAATACCATGGAAAGACTCAAGAACAGGGTAGATCAAACAGAAGAAAGAATGTCAGAGATTGAAGACAGCTCCTTCCAATTAAATAAGTCAGTTACAGAAATCGAGCAGAAAATTAAGAGAAAAGAAATAAGCCTACAAGAAATGTGGGATTATGTGAGAAAACCGAACCTGAGGGTGATAGGGGTTCCGGAAGGTGAAGAAGAAAACTCTCAAGGGCTGGATAAGTTTTTTGAAGAATTAATACAGGAGAATTATCCAGGCCTTGCTAAAAATCTAGATATAGAGGTACAAGAAGCTCAACAGACCCCAGGGAGATTCAATGTAAATAGGAAGACACCACGTCAAGCAGTCATCAGATTGACCAAAATAGCCACTAAAGAGGCCCTTCTA